CGGGGCTCGAACTCACGGACCGCGAGATCGTGACCTGGCTGAAGTCGGACGCTTAACCGACTGCGCCACCCAGGCGCCCCATGTGCTGATTTGTTATAGCAGCCCAAGCTGATAAGACATTTCCCTCCTCTCCAACTCTCCAAAATCATCTTCTATTGAAGATCTTCCTCTGGGCACAATCCAGAAGGTGCAAAAATTGAAGGTGCCTTCCTCTGCACCCCCTTTCATCTTGCAGGGCAGCTTAGCCCTTTTGCATTAGTCTCTTCCTCCAGCTAAGCTCCCGGGCCTTATACTTCAAAAACAATATTAGTGAATGTCCCCAAAAGAAAGAGTGCTATTCCCCCAGGATAAATTCTGTAATTTTCCTGACACCGTCAGATTTTTTAAGTTGCAAAGATTCACCTTGTTGGGACCCTAAAAAGCTTTACAGATGGTTCTGATGGAGCCAATTTCCTGGCTGTATCTGGCAACCGTAGGCTTCCCTTCAGTGGAAGATCCTTCTAGGAAGCCTGTCCCTCTTGGAGATTCCTGCTTACCCCAGAAAAGTCTCTGCAGTTTGTCCCCTGAAGCTTTCTGTAACCCCACCCAAAGGAGCTTTTATTTTTGTCACACTGCTATACTTTGTACCTATCGGCATGGAAGCATTCATCTTGCGGTAGTGGGATTTGGGGGTTGTCACTTCAGACTTCCATAGTGGTCCAAGAGTATATATTTTTTTAATTTTTAATGTTTATTTTTGACAGAGAGAGAGAGAGACAGAGCATGAGTAGGGGAGGGGCCGAAAGAGAGGGAGACGCAGAATCCAAAGCAGGCTCCAGGCTCTGAGCTGTCAGCACAGAGCCCGACGCGGGTCTCGAACTCACGGACCACGAGATCATGACCTGACCTGAAGTCGGCCGCTTAACAGATTGAGCCACCCGGGTGCCCCTGGTCCAAGAGTATCTTGAGAGCAAGTCTTGCTCATTATGGTGTCTCTGACATCCAATGTACTTGTCATTTTGTGGAGTGTTGTGTGCTTACTGAGTGAGGTAAGATGTGGAATGACAAACATTGGTTGGATTTGGCAATTAGGAGGTAATTGGTGATCATGGTCACTCCAGAGGAAATACTCATTAGGGACAGGCTGCCTTTGGGGCTTCTCCTATAAATGGGCAGACTGGGACCTGCACACAAGTGCTTGACTGATGAGGGTGGCACAGTGGGATCTTACCCACAGTCCATCATCCTGGCCATGCCTTCTGGCATGTGTACCTCAGCCTACTGGAAGGATACCATGTACTTACTGATCTACCCAGAGGGCCACATGTTTCAGTGTGTCAGCTAGAAGAGGCCCTTTGTGAATTACCTCAGAGGCACTGAGTGTGCTAGAAGAGTCCCTGCTGCTGTATAGCTCCCACCTCCTGGACTGGAGTCTTGCTTGGAACCCTACTGAGTCATTTCATTCGTTTCTCTCTGTGAAAGGGGAAAACCTATCACAGAGTTAAATGAAGTACTTCAGGAGGGCCATCATTGCCACGTATTTGGAAAATGTTCAAAAAGCCCAAGATGTTTCCACAGGCCCCTCAAACTCAACGTGTGCAAAACTGAAGCCATCACCTCTCCTGGGCAGGCCTGCCTCCCTGTGTTTCTTTCCATGGGTACATCTGACTGCCCAGCTAAAAGCCCTCCTGCCCTGTCATGCCTTCAGTCTACCCACAGGTCCTACTGGGTTCACCTCAAAGAGCTAATTCCCATCCTCTCCCCTCTGTTCTCTGGCCACTGCCCTGCCTCAGACCATCACCCCTTCTGACTAGATTATGTCAATTGCTTTTTTAAAAAAAATTTTAAGTTAATTTATTTGTTTTGAGAGAGAGAGAGAGATAAAGAGAGAGAGAGAGAGAGAGAGATGCAGAGATGCAGAGAGAGAATCCCAAGCAGGCTCCTTCTGTCAGCCCAGAACCCGAGTCGGAGGACTTCATCTCATGACCCACGAGATCATGACCTGAGCTGAGATCAAGAGTCAGACGCTTAATCAGCTGAGCCACCCAGGTGCCCCATGTCAACTGCTTCTTGTGACTTCCTATTACAGTTGGTCTTCCCTCACAAATTCATCCTCCAGATGCTCTCCAGACATCTTTCTAAAGACAGGATCCAGTCTCCTGCTTAAAACCCTTACAACATTCCCCCTTTACTCTCAGCCCATTGGTTGAGTCCACACTAGCTTGGTATACAAGTCCATTCACTTTGGTGCCAACCTACCATTCTGCCCTTTTCCAGCTGCTCCACACTGTGCATTAGCCTGTTTCCTGAGTGCCATGCTCCTTCAAGCTTCCTTGACTTTGCACATGCTCTTCCCTAAGCCTGGGCCTTCCCCCCTTATCTGTCACTTTTATCTCCAGAATATTCTGAATCCCCCTCCAAGTTCTCTGTTCATTTTCTGTATGACTGTCCACTCCTCTGTTGTAGCACATCGTGTTGACATACAGTCATTTGTTTAATTTCCCCTATAGGTCCTTGACTTTCACATCGAATGTGAGGTGTTGTTCATTTTTCTCTCTCCAGAATTTATTGAAGGGTCTGGCATTTATTTTGTGCCAAGTAAATATTGAATTGAAAGTCTTTCCACAAAAACATCAACAGCTCTACAATGGAATAACGTCAACTACTAAGAAGAATGAGTTAGACCCACATGATTATAACCTCAGAGTGATATGTATCTATTTTTTTGAAAAAGGTAGAGAAAATAACTCTTTACATTTGTTTTTGTCTAAATATAGCCAAGTGGATGGAAGAGATCCTAAATTCAATCTTCTGTTAAGCCGTGAGCAAGATTGGAGGAAGGAGGGAAGAGTGATTTTCTTTAAAACTTATAACTTATATAACTCTATTGTTGGACTTGTCAAAAAGAGCTTCTATTGTTTTTGTAAAATCAATTAAGAAAAATGAAGTAAGTGGTTGGTGAATGAGTAAATAGGCTTCAGCAAAGAATTGCTCAGAAAGAAGGAATATTGTTACCGTGGTGCAAACCCTAAGAAAATCTGAAGAAGAAAGTCAAAATCCCCAGAACATATAATTAGGGTATTATTATTCACTTTGTAAAGGATTTTTCTCTCCTCTGAAAGAATCTCCACAGGCTTCTTTTTAAAAAGGCAACTCCATTCAAGCTCTTATGTATTTGTTAACAGATGATTAACTACGTATTTGATGGGGGGTAGGCAGGGCCAAGAGAGAGAAAGTTTCAGGAGTCCATGCCAATTGAAGAGCTATCAGAAACAAAGATAAGCTCCATTAATATTATAATGTAATTATCAGGGAAATTATTGCACTGAAAAAATTCAAAGTTCACACAGTTTTTCTGGAGAAAGGGCACCCGGTATTTCTGGGAGAAGGGGAAGGTGCCTGCCTTCCTGGGGTTTGCGGAAGAGGTGCCAGGCCATCAACCTGAGAACACTGCACCCACCGGGCAGATACTGTACCCAGGTCCTAGATCTTACTGAGAAAGCAAATCCTTTTCAGGTGTCTGAAAGTAAAGCGGAGAGGTGGGTGGTAGTGAGTAGATAAGAAATCTCTTTTTTTGTGTGTTTATTTTTTGAAAGAAAAGAATAAAAGTTAGGGAGAGCAGATTTGACAGTCACCTTGAAAACAGAAGAAATACTAAGAACCTTGCATCATGGCAACGACATGGGCCTACCTTATATTTTAGTCATTAAAGCAGAGGATGATGAGAACTACTAACTCATTTTTAGTATTTGATGAAAGGAAAAAAAATCACTCAGGCTTGCATTATTTGACGTACCATGTGCTTGTCACTAGGGGATAATTTAAGAAAGAAATTTTCTACCAAAAGAAAGGAAATCAATCCATAGGCCTCTTGGGTTCCCACCCACAACTTGTATGTGATAAAAATCGAGTGAAAAACAACAAGCATTGCCTTGAGGCAGAGAGGAAGAAGGCATAGTGTGGCAGTGTCTTGGAATCCTCTGGATTATGTAAAACAGGGGTGACAGACTTTTTCTGTAAAGGGTCAGACAGTAAATATTTTACTCGTTTTTCTGAGCCAAGCGATAAAATCTGGAACATGACGTAGGCTCTCTCATAACAAAAGTGAAGGAATATTTTTCCACAACTTTTTAAATTAACCAAGTTCAACACTTCGGACTAAAATTTGAATTTCATGTCATTTTCATGAGCAATGACATTTCTTTTATGAAGTTTCTCAACCATTTGGAAATGTAAAAAGTGTTCTCACTCAGTTCATGGGTCGTACAAAAACAGGTGGTGTACTGGACTTGACCCGTGGGCTTTAGTTTGGTGACTCTGGATGTGGATAGAACATTTCCAGGTCAAGACAAATGTCCTTGATCAGTCAAGGCGCTACCAGCTCAAGCTGAGGTTGGCCATCACTTGAGAATTCTTCTCAACACAGGAGCGCTGCCAGTGACAACCATAAGAAGTGACAAAGGACAGCCTGGCCTGCGATGTGTGGCATCTCTGTAGGGACTACTCAAAGGACATTTAACTCAGATGACAACTGGGTTGTACCTGCCCTTTCAGATCTGGTGCAACTGGCTGAGCCTCCATCCCCAGCTTTAGAAAGTCAGACTCCAAGGTTTCAGTTATTTCCCAAGGAGCTTGCCTGCTTGTGTCCAGGAGCAATTGTTTCTGCTGCATTAGGTCAGTTTATAAATTCACCTGTCCTTGTTTTCATGATTGCTTCAACCAGAATGGGGGAATTTGGTTGTTTTAGTATTTTTTAACCAACTCACAGACTTGCAATTGAAGATTTAGGGAGATAATGTCAATTTACATGGCAGCAGTAATGGCATTTGCTCACCATTGTTTATGTCATCACCATAGCCAACATTTCCAGACAACTGGTTTGTTTTGTCAGATGCTTTTCATATATTATCTTATTTAATCTTTTAGTAGTCATTGGAAATAGATTTAAAAAATTGTTACCACATTTTATATTTAAAAAAAAAAAGAAATGAAATGAAAGAGATTGAGGAATTTTCCAGTCACAGAGCTAGTTGGTGGTCAAGTTGAATTTGGAGAACTGTCAGCAACCCAAGAAGCCGGTGCTCCTAAAAGCCACCCAATCTCCATCTGTGGTGCTTTAATTGAACACTAGACTTTTTTGTTTTTGAAAGTCCTTTCCCACCTTCCTTTCCCATTCTCACTGGCCAGACCACCTTCCAAAGTGTCCTGGCTTCTCACTATTTTCCTGGTGCTCTCCTCACCTGTGTCTTTCTTACTTCTCCCAGATTGCTCCCATGAACTCCTAGTACCTTGATACAATTATCCAGAGTAGCTCTTATCAGCTCATATTCCCACACTAAGCTCTACAAGAAGTCTTCTTTCAGAAATAATGTCATGTTATAGGAATAAAACCTTGATTGGCCAGGTGAATGTAGAATGATAGGACAAAATCTATATGGAGAGGATGGAAGAAATAAAGTGTTTTACAACATTAGAAAAATGAAAAATTTCCCTTTCTTTCTTGGGGGGATGCAGCAAATAGACAAGAAAGGATGAAATCAGTGATTACTGAGCAGCATGGCAGAGAGGATATAGGACTTTTTTTTAAGACTTTGCTTTGTGGGGCACTTGGGTAGCTCAATCAGTTAAGTGTTCAACTTCAGCTCAGGCCATGGTCTCATGGTTCCTGAGTTGGAGCCCCACATTGGGATTCTCCCTCTCTCTGCCCCCACCCCCCGATTTGCTTTCTCTCACCAAAATAAATAAACTTTAAAAAAGAGTTTGCTTTGCATGTAAGTGTTCAGTAATATTTTCTATGCATAAAAAGCTTTGTGAGAATATATGAATGTATGAAATCAAGAAATGAAGAATTCAATGGAGACAGAAAGTAAGAAATTAATGTAAGTTCCCTGAGAATCTAAAGAAATTCTATAGACTTTCCATATTGGATTTTTGACATTGGACTTCCCACAAGATGTGCTGATGTTACCTAAATCTTTAGCAACAGGGTGAATCTACATGGTAAAGTGTGAGCCCACAGGGAGGAGAACAATTCTATGTGGGTAGGGAGTAGAGAATGCAGAAAAAGAAATATATAAAGAGGGTAAATTGAAGGTCAAATGAAAACCATATTAGAGAGGGTGGGGTGGTTAAGAAGGGGACCTGAATAAGGGCAGAATGGTGGGGCTGGAAAGGATGGGATGAATCTCAGAGAGGTGATGGCATCAGTTGGGTTCCAGGCACAGGAAACAGCAGCCTTTCTAGGTATTTTAACCAGAAAGGATCATGATGTAGGGAATTGGGTTCTTTCTAATATTTCTGGAAAGGCAGAAGAAGTAGACTCCAGGCTTGGGATGAACAACATTGCAAAACTGCCCACCTGGGAGTTGGACCCCGCCTCTTGATAAGAAAAGGGGGTAATTAGGAGGGCATGTTCAGCACTGTCAATTTCAGGAAGAGCCTACCCTCGCTATAAGAGGAGCTGCCATCACAAGTAGGGGCTCTAGAGCTACGCTGTGCCCGCTCCATCTGCAACAGCAAAACATTCATGCCTCAGTCCATACCTTGCAGACTTTATTGCAACAGGTGCCTGGGTGTTAGAGCACAGTTGTGCTTGCCAACAGAAACCAGCATAGAAAGATCTCTCCCATCTCATTTCTGCTCTCCAGATTTCATATCAGTGCATCTTATTGGTGGAACCGAATTACATTAAGAAGCTAGTGACATGCCAAGCTATATTGGAGCCAAAGAAAAAAGGAACATTAAAATGTTGTAATACATAATGCAATACTGCATTACATTTTAATTTTTTAAAAATATTGCATTAGCATTCATTGTCTGGATTCTTGAGTTTTTGATGTCCCCTTAAATTTTGTGCCTGAGGTGCCTTACCTCCCTCCTCCTAGCCCAAGCCCTGTTGGGAACTCTAGTTGCAGGGGAGTCTTAGAAATATATTTTATAGCTTTCCATCCATTGCAGTAATGAGGGTACACTGGAGGATGTTAGGATGGAGGTAGAGAGGCATCTGTGACAGTTCATTTTATGTCTGGGCTATGGCTTGGGCTTGGCTGGGCTATGGAGCCAATGTTTGGTCAAACACCAGTTTAGATGTTGCTGTGGAAGTACTTTTTAGATGTGATTGACATTTAAATCTTTGACTAAAGCAGATTACCCTCCACGATGTGGAGGATGGCCTCATTCAATCAGTAGGAGGCTTTAAGAGAAAAGACTGAGGTCCCCAGTGAAGGGGGTCAAAATTACAAACTTCCAGTTATAAGATAAGTAAGTCCTGGGAATGTAAGGCACACAACACAATCATTATAGTTAACATTGCTGTGTGATATATTTGTAAGTGGCTGTGAAAGTAAATCCCCAAAGTTCTTAAGGAAAACACTTTTCCTTCTTTTTCTTTTCTTTCTTTTTTTTCTTTTCTTTTCTTTTCTTTTCTTGTTTTCTTTCTTTCTTTCTTTCTTTCTTTCTTTCTTTCTTTCTTTCACTTTCTTATCTATATGAAGCGATATATGTTAACTAAACTTATTGTGGTGATAATTTCACAATATATGTAAGTCGATTAATTATGCTGTATGCCTTAAACTTATACAGTGCTACATGCCAGTTATATGTCAATAAAACTGGGGGTGGTGGTGGTGGTGACCTCTTTAGGTATTTCAACTAGAAAGGGACATAATGTAGGGAATTGGGTTCTCTCAAACTTCTTGGGCGGGCAAGAGAAGCAGGCTCACTTATATACATATACATCCTATTGACCTTATTAGTTTTGTTTCTCTGGAGAACCTTGGCTAAGGTTAACCTTATCCAAAGGGATGACAATAGAGAGGCAGTTTGCCAGGGTCTATTGACTGAGTAGAAGAAACAGTACTGGTTTATAGTTTCAAGGTAGAGGGAGGCAAAAAGAAAAGGAGGGGACTAGGCTGATTCCCAGGCTCCTAGTGTGGATATCCAGCTGGTGCCTCTGGTCTCAATAAGGAAGACAAATACAGTGCCAGATATGCCCATGAGAAAACAGAGCACACGTTCATCATCCTTAGAAGACAGCTAACATCTCTCAAGTGCAGCCATGTTTCAGTGCATGAAAGCCACCCTCTATGTGTCACAGGTTGCCTAGAATAGGCAGTTTGCTTGTTCCCTCACTCATCCATTAAATAAATGGTTGTTAAGTGCCTATGAGTCACGTACTGTTCAATGGCTTTGGACGTCCAATGGTGAATGAAAGATCAATTCACTTCCTCCATGTTTTTATTCTTATTTAGGAAGATATAACAAACACACACACATGCATGCACACACAGATAAAATAATTCCAGATAGTAATATGTGCAGTGAGGACCATGAAATTGGGCAACGTGATAAAGAGTGACAGGTAGTGGGGGCTACCCTGGACATGGTTCTTCAACTCAAATATACCTAGAACCCATAAGAATGTGGGAACCGACCGGATGGCCATGGGGTGAGGGGCCGGCTGAGTTGCTGTGTGTGTGAACAAGCTGGAATCAAAGTAATGAAATCCAGGCTTATGTGAATTATGAAAGGGAACCCAAGCACAATAGGAGCATTTGTAATGCACCCCTTGGTTCCCCATACTGAAGGCGAGTAGGTGGGAATTGAATGGGCCTCCATGGGGCAATGCAGATGGCAAACTGTACGGCAAGGCCCTGGCCCAGGGCTGAGTCTAAGAGCAGCGTGGGGATCCCGGTGCGATGGAGGCTCTCTGAGGTGCAGGCGATGCCTGGGGCTGTTAAATCTCCAGAGTGACACAGTGCTTGGCACACGCTGGTTTCTCTCGAAATGTCAGTTGACAAATTAAGAAATCCCCTGCCTGAAGATGGAAGGAGCAGCCACAACAGAACCAGGGAGCCTTTGCATTCTGTGTGATTTCTTCACACTTGGGGAAGCATTTGCTTCCCTCTATGAAACAAGCCCCCACAGCTTTCCAGGTGGGGATGGGGAGCTGGCCCCATGGCTCCAATTCTGTTTCCTTGATAGCAGCAGTTGCTGTCCTCTTGCGGGGGGGGGGGGGGGGGAGACTAGGATTTGCTTTTAACACTTCTGCCATAGTGTGGCTCCAAATCCTTTCCTTAGGTTTGTCCCCTTAGCAGCTGAGACAGCCTGGAATTCTAGAAGACTTCATTAAATGCTAAGGAAGTAAAAAAGACTAGTATGCCAAAGAGTTCAAGAAGGGTAATCTATCAGATTTACGTTGTATGGTTTTCTGATCTTTTTAGACCTGCAGGCTCTGGTACCACATTCCATGTAGAGAAATTGTTCAGGTCTAACCCCAAAAGATGGGTCATCAGTTTCACAGATGACATGACTCAGCTCTAGGCCCATCACCACGAACAGGGAACAAATCTTCCTTTCTACAACGAAGCTTGTGTCTGCCATTAAGATCTCATGGCCAGATCTAGCAAATAAAAATACAGGACACCCAGTTAAATTTGGATTTCAGATACATAACAAAGACTTTTTTAGTGTAAGTATATCCCAAATATCGCATGTTCCAAATGTTGCATGAGGTATATTTATAACTAAAACCAGCCTGTTGTTTATCTAAAATTCAGATTTGACTGGGAGGCTCCAATTTTACCTGGCAGTTGTACTTAAGATCAAGAAAGAGATTTTAACTCGTCACCTGCACCTGGCCTTTTCACCTAATCCTCATTCTGGGTTCCAGTGCTGGGTCTCCACACCTCCCTCAGGGGTGGGTAGAGCTATTACAGCTGTCCCAGTTGTAAGTTGTGACTTCTTCCTTTATTTAAGACCCTACCTACTTCCATTTCTATACAACAGGGGTTCTTGCCTGTTTGGACAGAATCATAATATCTGAACATGAAATGAGCATATTATCCACACAACAGAAAGTATGCATCTGTCATCGTTTTATGCAGTCAGTACACAACAACTTTGTGTTTTCCTTTGGGAATAACTAAACTCAGTCCCCTAGTGACCGTGCTCAAAAATCTTGAGGACAGTAAAGCTTCTTGGACAGTTGGTAGATATTCAGTCTAGAACATTTCCATTGCTCTTACATATCAGAGGATTAAAATAGTCAGCCAACCATATGACATGCCTAGGAGCTATTTTCAGCTCTGTTTTAACCTGTTGAACTCCGGATAGCAACTTCTGTATTTTTATCTTATGTTATGCTTCCTTTGAGGCAATAAGTATGGGGCAGTCAGGTTAGAAAGAAATAACTAACAACTTTCAAGAAAACAATCTAAAATAAGCCAACTGTGTAGCGAACATAAAAATATACAGATTTCCTTTGCTTCTACTGGTAATGCCGAAGTCCACGTACTTAGGATGTCTGCACGTACCGTGCATTTAGCCGCGTGGTTCTTTTGCACTGAACCTTTTAGATCAGATGGGTTAGACTTTCTCCCTCCCCCACTGCACGATTAGTGTGAGACCTCTTGCCTCCTCAGGTTGAAGCAGAGTGGTAATACTGTTTCACTCTTAATTCAAACATAAAGTGTAACGGCCACATGAGCCATAACAATATCTGTCTAAATATTAGCTGGAATTCCTAGTCCTGGTTCTTTTACCGACCCCGGCTGTCTAGGCAATGTTTAAAAGTGCCTGT